CACGAGCGGTGGTGAAACAGGAAAGGAATTTATTTCCATGAGGCTACCACAGGGAATACAGCAGGCTGGAGTCTCAGACTGTCTTCAGTGTGCTTAAAATACTTCAGGAAAATGTGGGACAAACCTCAGTGGGTACACGCAGGTGGGCAGTAAAGGTCAGGTTGATCGTCTCAGGGTCAATTCTGTGAGCTCTTGCTGGTGTTGGGGCAGTCCCTGTTGCTCGAGGGGTAGTTTTGGTTCCATCATGGGATGCTTTGCCCGGTGGGTCCTTTGCTTGAGTTAGAAGATAATCTGGAAAGAAGAACTTAACAAAGTACTGATTAAGGTCAAAATGGAGATAAAGTCCTCATTTAATATGTGAAAATTGGCTCTTTTTTGGTGAATTAAGCCTTGGTGATTTATATATAAATATTTGTATGCATATATGTGTGTGTGGGTACTGGATTTAGCTTGCCAGGGTTCAAACCCAGCTTCTTTATTAAGTAGCTGGATGGCCTTAAGTAACCTTGTTGTATCTCAGTTTCCTCTTTTGTAAACAACAGAGCCTATAGTAGAGGTACTCTTGTAAGCTAATACATATATAGTACTTGATACATATTAAGTGTTTAATAAATGTTAATTACTGTGATGATGTACTTAAAGGCTCCCTAATTCCTCCTGTTCCAAAATACAAAACAAAAAAACCCATTTAGACAATTGAATGAATGTTTATTTTGAATTTGAATTTGATTATATAATGTTATAGAAGGTTTAACTGGTTTTGGTCTCTTTTTCTGTTTATCTTTCCAATTACCTCTTTTTGATTATTCTTCAGTAATTGCTAGTTTCATCATGTTTTGTTTTTGTTTTTTTTTTCATTAAGTATTTCTTTTCTCCCTGTTGCTTAGAGGTTCATACCTAAATTCAAAGATTTTGATTTCAACCTGTTTTAGTCTTGTCTTCTGCAGCTCTTATTCAGGAGTTATGATGGTGCTTGTTTGGACAAAACCCATAAGTAGTTGTGCACGCAGTTTGTGGCCTGTGTCATGGGCCATATAAATGAATTGGTTTACTCCAGAGACAAAGATGACAGTAGGATTAGGTAGATACCCTAGCTCTTGATAGGCGAGCAGTAAAAAAAACAAAAAACAAAACAACAACAAAAAAAGAGACTAAAGGTATCCATTATAGGAAGATAAGACCATTTTAAAAAGAGTACACTGGAGTTCAGAATTATAAGGTAAGCTATATTGACACCAGGAAATACTCAATGTAGCCTTACAGTTTGCCTTTGTCTTATAATTGATTGCTGCATATAGAAAGGAGCAGACACCATTATAATTACAGGTATAACTATATTAGGAATCTAATATAGTCAAAGTTTTTTTCTTACATTATGATATGTCAGCTGTAGGGTATCTTTAATTCTTGTTAAAGTAGTGAATACACCAGTTAAATAATGATAATGGCTACCATTTGGGGAGTACACTCTCAGTGGTTTTAATTCTCATCGTAGTTCTGCAAGCTAGGCTACATAGGTATCTGCATCTTATAGATAAGAAAGTGGAGCGTTGTAATAATTCTCAGGTCACAGCGAGTACTGGTGGAGCCGGCATATGAACCGACTTGAAAGTAGGTGTCTTAATTAATTCTCACTGTGCCTCAGATGTTCCTGTGGCACATCAACAACAACAAAACAAAAAAGGATACCTAATTAGGCTACTTCTCAGGCAATTTGGGTTTAGTAAATTTGCAGTCGAGCTGTGATTCTGACGCACTGCCAGGATTGAGAGCTACTTGCTTTGGAACTCACAGTCTTTCAAACTAATATTTTTTGATTATATGTAAGTAATTTCCATTCCTTAAAATTTTATTTTAAGCTTTTTGTTACAATGAAGTAACGACTTAGGATTTTTTCCCCAACACATGGGACTTTTATAGGATCAGGATCCTTCAGGGCTGGCTGCAGCATAGTACTACCTTATCCAAAGGAAAAAGGAAAGAAATCAGTAGTAACCTTGAGAAAAAGCACTTATCTGAGCCTCAGAATTATCATTTGTAAAATATGGATAATAACTACCTTTCAGAGTTACCGTGAAGATTAAGTACAGTTATGTATTTAAGATACAGAACCTAAAACTTAGTAGATAGTAAGTGCTTCTTGTTTATTAAAGTATATTTATCATCTTAGGTGTGACTATATTAATATTAATGTCATAAAAAAGTGCAGTTTTTCTGGCCATACATAGAGTAAGAACAAACCTTTCTTGACCTCCATGTAACCTGGACTTACAGATACTTTCCAGTCTCTATGAATAAAATATTGATTGACGTTCACAGCATGCTGAAGTTTTCAAACCATAGGGCCCTAATTAGCAGAGCTGTTTGCTTATACTTTACTTAACCAAGAATCGATTCTGTGTATTCCCACATCTCTTTGTGCCTGTTATATTTGATGTTATAATCAAGTAATTAGTTCACTTTAAGAATATATAAACTGATGAAATGTGAATACAAAATGGAGGGTTTTTTTTTTAAGTTTATTTATTTGAGAGAGAGAGAACATGAGCAGGGGAGGGGCAGAGAGAGAGAGAGAGAGTATCTGAAGCTGACTCCGTGCTGTCAGTGCAGAGCCTTGGCATGGGGCTCAATCCCACAGACCGTGACATCATGACCTGAGCCAAAGTCAAGAGTCCACTGTTTAACCAACTGAGTCACCCAGGCGCCCCAGAGGGTTGGACTTCATGAAGGTCAGCCACCTAAAATTTCTCTGATGCTGTGTGTATAACAGTAAATGATCAGAAAAGAAATAGATTCTATGTGAATGCTACACTTAGAATGCATTGCCAGTATCTTTAAAGTTCCATTTAAAATATTAAACTACAAATCCTATACCGGGGTAGTTATAGCTATGTTTTATTTAAGAAAAACAATTCTGAACTCTAGTATTCAGTTAAAGAATACTTTAGGGGTGCCTGGGTGGCTCAGTCAGTTGAGTGTCTGACTTCAGCTCAGGTCATGATCTCGCGGTTTGTGACTTTGAGCCCTGTGTCGGGCTCTGTGCTGACAGCTCAGAGCCTGGAGCCTGCTTCGGATTCTGCGTCTCCCTCTCTCTCTGCCCCTCTCCTGCTCACGCCCTGTCTCTCAAAAACAAGGAAACATTAAACACTTAAAAAAAATATATAGAAGTGTTGGGATAATATCACAAGATATGCAAAATTATATATGATTTCTGAAAAATATAGGTAAATAGAATTTGTATGATTTTTCATAATAGCTCACATTTTTCATTAACTTCTCATCTGATAATAGGAGAAGTTTTACTCCATGTAAAATGAGAATTTTAGAATATGCTGATTGGTGCCAGCAAGACTAATTTAGCTGGACGGATTAGAATTAGACTCACTCTGCTAGCTAAAAAGGCAGAGTCTGTGCTGTCATCCTGACAAAAGAAATGGATGAACAGAGATGTAGGTATTTCTTTCTTCGGCCAAACAGGTGTGATTTGGTACCGTGCCAGGAGAGCCATTGAAATCTAGCTTCCTGTAGATGCTTTTGGGCAATTGCTGTAGTGAAAATAGTACTATTAATACTGATGACGATGATGGTGATGGTAAAAGTTTAAAGATGTTTAAAGAGTAGGGTACTATAAGCTAAACATGCATGATTAGTCTATTAGTTTATGAAATATTAGAGCAATTAATTGCTGGCAATAAAATGAACAAAATCCCTGGAAAATAAATATCTCCTAGAAAAACTTCTAGAACTCAGAAGGAAAAGGTGCATAGAAAATAAGAATTTAACTTTTAGCGTGATTATTTTTACTTAAGAACCCTAGGGGGCATGTATTAATAGAATATAGGAAATAGTCTATATACCTGAATATGGCATTGTATAAAGAGAGCTACAGTTTTATTAAATCCCATCATATCTTGGTTTTAGATGTAAATTTTTATTTTCAGTTAATATTTACTAACAATTTTATGAAATCCCATCATATCTTAGTTTTAAATATAAATTTTTATTTTCAGTTAATATTTATTAACTAGTGAAAAGTAGATTAGCAGTATGTTAAAATGGCTAATTTCTTATTTCAAGTTTATGAAAATAAAAAGCATGTAACAATGTCTGGCACATAGTAAGTTGTATAAGTGGATTTTTTGTTTTGTTGTTAGCTACCTTAGTATTAAGAGTATAGACTCTGGAGCCAGATTGCTTATTCAGATCGCTCCTCTGCTGCTTTCTAGTCGTGTGACTTACAAGTTACTTGATTCCTCTGTGCTTCAGTTTCTTATTGTTCATAGGGCAGAAACTATATATTCTCCATAGATTATGAGGATTAAATGAGTTAATATATATGACATGTTTAGTATAATGCCTGACACAGAAAATGTGTGTTTATTTTAATTATCATGGGGAAATTAATAGAAGTTTGCATATTTTGTATTCAAGCCTGTTGTAAAAGATTGATATGTTCATTGGTAATATAACATGCCACAATTGCAAACATAGTTACGTGGTTATATTAACTTACACTATTGAAAAATAACACTATAGGTGTGAACAATGCCACTAAAAAGATTGGCTCCAAAAGCATTATTCTAAAATGACATGTCTCTGCTTTTCAGATTTGTTTGCTGTCTTGGGCAAAATTGGATGTTCTGCAGATCAACTATCTTTTCTCTTTTTGTTTTAAGGGAAAGAAAAAAAAAATACCTGAGCCCGAGTAAAGTGTATTAAATATATTTTGTGTTCTGTATATTGTTGTTTTTGATAGTTCTTTTGTTTTCTAGAAAGAACAGCTACTTATTTCTTCTAGACCTATAATCTCTGAGACTTCTGATTATGAGCAGAAGCTAGCTGATTTGATTGATGTGTAATAAATGTAACTCTGAATCTCAATCTCAGTAAAAAGCCTGAATTGAATATCAGGTCATTGGAATGTTGGTCTATTATATAACTTAGCAATTGCTGTAAAAAGCCCACGCATACCATAGACTCCTTAATGAAATTAATCACAGCTTTGGTCGTCCAGGAGTAGAATGTTATTGTCAACATGACAGTGGAGCTGCAGTAATCCAGCTTCAGTTCCTGATTAATGAGGTTAGTGAATTGCTTTAATCTGTCCTACTTATATATGAAATAGGGGCACATCTGGTCTTTCAGATTTCTTGCATGCATTCATATTTAAATATTTGTACAAGAGTGAATTTCTTAAAGATCAGAGCTAATAGTTCACTTTATGGCATCATGGGAAGTTACATAAATAATGTAAGATGTTTCTCAAGACAGTGTTGCAAATAGAATGGAATAAGGTGCTACATTTAAGTTTTATTTCATGGATATTGAAAGTTATGTAACGTTAAAATCTGTATTAAAAAACTGTTTTTAGAGATTGAGTTTATTATAAACGACTGAGTTTATTATAAACGACAAAATGTACTTCTCTAATAAATTGTTTGAAATATAACCAGGAAACGAAAATCCATTAGAAACTGGTTATTGTCCAAAATTCTTGTTTTGTCACTTACTGGTTCAAGTAATTGATGATGCCTTTCTTTTTGATGGAGTATAAAGTTAGGAAGGAGCTCAGGAAACAAATACTATTTTATCAGCAGTGTAGACAGCATGCTTGCAGGTTTTAAAAAAAGTTTTTGCCATGACATGGAGCTGGAGAGTATAATGCTAAGTGAACTAAGTCAGAGAAAGAGAAATAACATATGATTTCACTCATACATGGAATTTAAGAAACAAATGAACAAAAGGAATAGAAAGAGACAAATCAAGAAACAGACTCTTAATTATAGAGAACAAAGTGATGGTTATCAGAGAGGAGAAGGGTGTGTAGGGATGGGGGATAGGTGATGGGCATTAAGGAGCGCACTTGTCCTGATGAGCACCAGGTGAGGTATGGGAGTGTTGAATCACTATGTTGTACACCTAAAACTAATATAACACTGTATGTTAACTAACTGGAATTTAAAAAAGAATAATGAAAAGTTAAAAAATTAAAAATATGAGCAACACTGAGAATGATGTTTATTGTATGCAGTGATGGGCAGGAAAAGCTGGTCATAAGAAATTACTCCAGAAAAGTCTCTTCTATCTTCAGATATGGTGATAGTCTGTGGACGTTCTTTTTGCCCTCATGTCCTTAGGTTCCATGGAATAAATTCTTAAATATATATGAGTGGAAGAAAACAATACTTGATACCTCTAACCTTATGTAAAATGTTTTTATTTATATCAGAATATTAATATGCAATTGTTTAGGCTTTTCAAGGTCAGAAGTGTAATTTAAAAACTTCAGTGTTCTGTGTAGAATTGTGTAATAGGTGTATTGTAAAATGTTAAAGTACAAAAGAAATCATAATATAGAAAGTTGTGGAACCCTTTTAGGAGGACTCAAGATTAGTTTCCTGTTTTCAAAACACTTTTGTTATGAAATAATTCTATTAGCAGTTAGTTTCAAAATAAAGAGGTCCTGTGTGTACTCCACCCAGCTTCCCCCAATAGTAACATTATGTATAACAGCAGTAAGATCTCAAACCAGCAAAATAACATCCATATACTACTATTAGCTAGACTATAGACCTTATTTAGATTTCACCACCAGGTTTCTACATGCACTCGTGTGTGTGTGTGTGTGTGTGTGTGTGTGTGTGTGGTTTTGTGCAGTTTTATGACACATAGATTTGTGTAATGACCACCTTGAACAAGATACAGATCAGTTTCATCATCATAAAGAAATTCCCTAAGGCTACCCTTTTATAATTATGCCCCTTCCTGCTCTCAGTCCCTAATCCCTGGCAACCAGTAACCTGTTCTCCATCTTTATACTTGTGTTAAGATTATTTCTTAAGGCTGTACATGAACCAGGACACCTGGGTGGCTCAGTTTAGTGTCTTAATTTCGGCTCAGGTCATGATCTCACTGTGAGTTTGAGACCTGTGTCAGGCTCTGTGCAGACAGCACGAAGCCTGCTTGAGATTCTCTCTCTCCCTCTCTCTCTGCCCCTCCCCTGCTCACTTGCTTTCTCTCTCTCTCAAAATAAATAAACATTAAAAAAAGAAGCTGTACATGAACCAATGTAAATAACATATTGCAGATTGCCTATACACCTAAATTTTAGAAATCTTAAGTAGTTTATGTTGTCATTTGTATTACAGGGTTCTTTTTTAATGGGAGTCATCATAGAGTTCTTAGATGTGACTTTTTATTTTACATGCTCGAATGTTACTTTTTGAGTACTTGAAGGTGCTATTACTGTTTTAAAAATGCTTTTCAAAATATGAATATTTAAATGAGGTTAGATATGGAAATCTGATCATTGAGAGTAGGCATTTGCTTTTGTTTTTAGTAAACCATATATATAGGTAAAGGAGCCATCAGAGGAGGTAGTCAAGCTGTTATTGCCATTTTGGCTCTACATCTCTTCTTGAGATTTCAAAACGGTGTGTACATCATGAGAGAGAAGTTGACATGCTGTGAAACTATGGTGGAAATAAGAATGAAGAGTACAGATCTTTGATACTCTGAACCTTTGAGTTTCACTGCTTCAAAATGATGTATTTTTTATATATTTTTGTTTATCTTTTTTTTTTTTTTTTTTTTTTTTTTTTTTTTTTTAGGGAGAGAGGGAGAAAGCGTGAGTGGGAGAGAGGAACAGAGGGAAAGAGAGAGAGAATCCTGAGCAGTTCCGTGCCCAGTGTGGTATCTGACACAGGGCTTGATCCTACTACCCTGGGATCATAATCTGAGCTGAAATCAAGAGTCGGGTACTCACCCAGCTGAGCCACTAGGCATCCCTGCTTCAAAGTGATATTAGATAAGACGATGCTTTCTAGTGAAAGGGAGAGTATGTGGACTTTATTTCTGCTTACTGGTAGTCATGTAGCAGTAGGAATTACACAATAGAGTAGCCTCCATAGAATTGCGAAAGGGGAAAGGCCTTGGAGAGATGATTTAATGTAAATTTTGCCTTTAGAGCTATTTTAATCCTCTCTGATAAATGAGAAACTCTTAGGTTAAAAAAGGAGATTTTAAAATTTCTCATAATAACCTAAATGATTAGAACTGCAAATCCTTTTTGAAATTAACATAAATTCTTCATATTACATTTTTTAAAATTTATTCTGTCAGTAGAGATGAAAAGTATCTGACTCTTTTGAGGAAAACATGCGCATGTCTTAATAAATCAGCCTCAGTCCAGAGATTCTTAATCCTGTTCACACATCAGAATCACCTCTGAAGATTTTTATAAATATACAGAGGTCCTTGCTCTGAAAATTCTGGTTTGTCAGGTCACAGGTGAGACTGAGCTTCCTGTGTGATTCTCACCTAGGACCAGAGATTTTCTTCTCCATGCTTAACAGGATTTAATACTATCAGATATTTTAACTTTCTAAATTGGTTGATTGTTCAACCCTTTAAATATTGAAGTTAGAGCGTGCTAAATGCTATCTTTATTTTCTGTATCATTCTAGTAGTAGAATTAGTATCTAGGCATAGTACATTCAGAAGAATTTGTCTTAAGCCAAATAAAATGCGAAGGTTCCTTCATATTGTATTTTTCTTTTACCCAAGGAAGATGTACGGTAGTGGTCAAGCCACCCAAATAGTCTGACCTCTAATTTTATATAGCTAATTATCAACCTTAATATCCAACTAGATTCTAGTATGCTTGTAGTGTATAAGATACTAAATTATACTTTATTGAAGTTAAAACATTTCTTACACATACATACACATGTAACACACCGTTTTACACCTGCTGTTTAGAATTTGGGTGAGGCAAATATTTCTCTAAACTAAACCTATTGGCAGAAAGTTTTGAAGTCTGGGAAGATTTTTTTGGCAGCTCTTTAGTAGCTTTAGTGTTTGCAAAATATATTCTGTGTAAAATGTATTACATTGTATTTTTAAGGGAGCTCTCGTGAGTGCCTTGGCTGATGACACCTTACATTTATGGAATTTACGTCAAAAGAGACCTGCCATATTACATTCACTTAAATTTTGCAGAGAAAGGTAAGAATTCTTTGTTATCCTATATATAAGATATTTGTTATTCTATTTTGAAATGTTTTCTTTGAATTTTATTCTTTGATTTTATTTTTTTGTGATAGACTTTATGCACAATCTAAAAAATAATTCAAAAACTTCAAAGGATATACAATAAAAAGCAAGGTTCCTTCCTTTCCAGACCCATTTCCCTCTCCAGAGACACCACATAAATTTGTTTTGTGTCCTTCTAGAAATACTTAGTCTGTGCATGTAGGCAAAAATCTCTGTATATAGCTCCTTTTTTTTTTTTTTTTTTTTTTGCATAAAAGGGAAGGCATCATATATTCCTTCTATAATTTGTGTTCACTCAATAATATATCTGATTGTTAACTATTGGACACAGGCCAGCCTTCCTTTGTTATTTTCACAACAGCATGATATTCCATTGTATGGAAGTACCCTAATTTAGTCTTCATCAATGGACATTTATATCCTTTTCGGTCTGCTGTTCGTTTCCTCTGCTGTGTTGTGATGTTATGTTACATATATGTCTTCATCCATTTATTCAAGTCTATCTGTAAGGTAAATTCGTAGAAGTATAACAGTTTGGTCACAGGAATCTCGTATATGATTTGTGAGCTTTGTGCTATGATTAGTAAGACCTTGTTTTTTACTTTCTTAATTCCAGTATAATGAACACACAGTGTTATGTTAGTTTTCAGGGTACAATATGGTGATTCAACACTTACGTACATTATTCAGCACTCATCATAAGTGTACTCTTAATCCTCTTTCACTTACTTTACCCATTCCCTCACCCACCTCCCCTCTGGTAACCATCAGTTCTCTGTAGTTAAGAGTCTGGTTTTTTGGTCTTTTGTTCATTTGTTTTGTTTCTTAAATTTCACATGTAAGTGAAATCATATGGTATTTGTCTTTCTCTGACTTATTTCACTTAGCATTATACCTTCTAGATCCATCCATGTCGTTGCAAGTGGCAAGATTTCGTTCCTTTTTATGGCCCAGTAATATTCTACTGTATATTAGACCTTTTCCACCCTAATTTGATTAAACATTCTCCCATATTTTATTTTTTTTTAATTTGTAAAATTTATTTAGTTTGAGAGGAATAGAGAGAACACGTGCGAGTGGGGGAAAGGGAGAGACAGAATCCCAAGCAGGCTCCATGCTGTCAGTGCAGAGCCAACTTGGGGCTCAATTCCATGAACTGTGAGATCATGACATGAGCCAAAATCAAGAGTTGGACGCTTAACTGACTGAGCCACCCAGGAGTTGCATATTGGCTCTACATGGCTTTATACATGTAACAGAGAGATTCTTTGGCTTTGGTGGAAAATGAGAATTTGACAAGTAAAATTCTGTCTGGTAGGTTTTTTTGTTTTAATTAGAGTATGTTCCATTTAGCTTCTCTGTTTGTTTATTTATTTATTTTAAGGAAGTTTAATTGGGAGGAGTTCATGGATTTATAAGCAACTACAACTATCTGTTCTGCTAGTTTTTTATCGCCTTGAACGTGACCAGTATTCTCAACCATGTTAGAGCAGTTAAAAATATATGAAACATTTTAAGACTGAAGACTAAATTATAGATCTGGGATTTCCTCTTTAAAACCTTCTATTGTCTAATTATTATATCTCTAATAATTATCTCTAATAATTCTGTGTTGTTCATAAAACACTTTCACATAAATGTTATTTAGTCTCTGGGGTCAAGAAAAATTTCCCCAAGTGAAATTTCAAAGAGTAGAATTTTTCTCCATAAATATGTTAGACACCTGAATAGCTGAGTCTTTAATACTGAAATTAATGTATTTCTTTTAAGATATATTTCTTTTATTCTGACACATTTATATCTATTCATTTGTTATTAGATACAAGTACTGGTTTAGAGACTAAAAAAAGCATGCATGCATTCTAATGGTTAGCAAAATGCAATATTCTATGGAATACATTAGTAATAAAAAATTTCGTCCTAACAATTATCAATGGTCTATCAGTGTCCAAAGTCCTTAAGAAAAGAAAATATTTCAGAGATGGAGTAATTTATTCAGATACTAGGACCTCAGTGGAGGAGTTGATGCCTGTAAGGTACTTCAGGAAGTGACTGCTGCTGTAGCGTTAGATTTTCTTAGTAGCAAAAAATAAATTATTGTAGAAACAAAAACTGATTTATCCCATTATACTCTTAATTAAAATATTAAATTTGTGCTTTGCATATTCATGAGGCTTATAATTTGTTCAGTATAAACATGAGCAGGGCATAGCTGTAAAAGAATATTTGGCTAGCTACCAGCCCTTAAAATATCTGTACAGGTCTTCCAAAGATTTTGAATTAATTCACTGCACATACTGAATAAGAAAAAAAAAAAATAATCATAATATTGCAACAAATTAGAAATCTAGAATTATAGTTTTTGTAGTAATTGTGTCATATTGGCAAAATATTTCTCTTTTAAGTAGCTTAATGAAAAGTGTACAAGCATTAGAAATAAGAGTGATTTTGTGTGATGAAATTGAGGACTAGAACACAGTAATGGAATGGAATGCAGGCTGTTAGGAAGCCTGACAGAGGGTCTGCTATTCTGGACCTAATTCTAATCCAGGAAAGAGAATTGCTTGGAGTTCTGTGGAAGTGATGAGTCATCTCAGGGATTATTAGAGAACCATGTCCTGAGACAAAATTTAAAAAGAAAAAAGGAAACTGTCAGTGTTTATTTAGAGGGAAGATGATTGTGATTTGATGACCTTGAGACTGTAAAAGGAAAGATGGTCAGGAAGTGTTGGATAGCTTCCTAGAAGAAAATTATCCATAACTAAGAAATTCTGACAAGGAAGTTCGGAGAGACATCCAAAGAGACTGGTCTAGTTACATAAGGGCCTTATGTATTCAGGTATAAAAAGATTGTATGGAAGGAGGGGGACACATAATCAAAGGTGAATATAAGAATAATTTATCTCTCTTAATGGGCAAAATGACCTAAGGCTTGTGAAAAATAACAAAGACAAAATAATGAATGAAAACAGTTTACTTTTTATGTTGAGGGCAAGAAAGCTAGGTAGATTAATGATTGGTACAGTCGGGGCATATATTATTCCTCTAACTGTATTCATGCAATACTGGCTCAGACAAATTATGTCTTAGACTGCTAAAAAGGGTTGGCTCCTGTGCCATTATTGATTGGCCTAGGAGGAATATAGAGTGGGAACAGTGCTTTAAATTTGAAATGAAAAAAAAATACACTTTAGAAGGTGAATGATGTTCAGTTCAGCAAACATTGGGTGCATTCTGTGTGCTAGGTATTGGGATAAGAAAGATGAATAAAATGCTTGAATAGCTTACATCAGAGCCCAGACATATAATAAGTATGACATAATGTGGATAAATGTCATTTTAGAAGTTTATGTTAAAAACCTAGGATAGAATAACTAATTCAGTCTTTCATCTTAAAGATATACTGACTTCTTTTAAGATAGAAGTCAGTCATCAGGACAGTGCAGACTAAAACCAACCAGATTATCACTACACATCCATCAGAAGGGCTAAAACGTTGGCTTGGATGAGACACTATCAGAACTTTGCATATTCTGCTGGGAGTGTTAAGTTTTAGTCACTTCAAAAAAATGTTTTGCAGTATTCACAAATTCCATAACCCAACAGTTCCTGTCCTAAACATATATGTGGGGTAGACAGAATTTTAAAATGGGTCCCAAGATTTCTGCTCCCTCATGTCCACACACCAACTCCTAGTTATTTATACAAACACTACTTAACTCTAGGTGAAGGTTTTTTTGTAGATGTCATTGAGATCCCAATTAATTGACCTTATGATAGGGCAGTTATTCTCAGCAAACCTGATTTAGTTAACTGAGCCTTTGAAAAGGACTAGATTCTTCCTGGCACAGGGTTCAGGGCATGACAGGGATTCAGTGCAAGGGATATTGAGTCCTACAACCACATGAGACTGATTTCTACTAGCAACCTGTTAGAGCTTCAGAGCGGATTCTTCCCAGAACCTCCAGAAGGGGACACAGGAATGTCTCCTGGCTGATGTTTGGATTTCAGCCTTCTGAGTCTGAATAGAGGCTATGAGTCATGCAGTGCCTGGACATCTGACCTATAGAAACAGAGAATAAATGAGTGTTTTCTTAGGTATTAATTTTGTGGTAATTTGTTACACAGCAATAAAAAAAAAAAAAAAAACATACAGATTTTGGTACCTAGAAGTGAGGTGCTGCTGTAGCACATACCTAAAAATGTGTAAATTGCTTTGGAACTGGGCAGTGAATAGAGGTTGAAAAAAATTGAGGAATGTGATAGAAGTCTAAATGATATCTAGTCTAAATGTGATAGATATCACATTTAGATATCTAGATATCTA